TTAAATGCATTACCACTAACTGTGATTTGCAACACAATGTAATAAATGACAGAATATTTTATAAAACAATTAGTATTTTTCTGTCGTTACATCTTCATTTTGCACAGCCCTATTTATAATTATAGTATACACATTTTTTCAATAGACCAAACAAGAGATTGGAGGAGCTGGGCCATGGCTGCGGTAGTGTAGCTGTAAAAAAAGATGTCCATCCCTACCCAAACCTCCTCCTCGTCCAGTATTGACCTCTATTACCGAACACACTTCATCCTCTTCTGAACAACCTCCTTCTTCTCCTACTGCTGCATGTTCAGAGTCTCCCCAGCCAGCAGTAAATGAGCTACCAATGAGTTCTGCGACAGCAGTGTCACATAACAGTCAACGTTATTCAACCTCAGTACTCATTCCAGGTATGGTTGCACATGGTTTGTCACAAAGTAATTCCATACCATAATGCACAAGAGTTCTTATGCAGGCCTGGTCACCAGACGCTCGCCATCGAGCCCCGGTGACCCGCGTCCGGGCGAGGGAAAATGTGAATCTATGTTTTTACTCATCATAAGGGGTTTGATGAGCCGCACTTCGTCTGGTTCCTCACCCAGGACCTGTTTGCCTTGAGTGACCCTATCAGTAGCATAAAGCCCTGGGCAACTTAGCTCCTGGGATCATTGGAACACGCAAACCCCTCTACCACGATAAGGTGTCGGCTCCAGGAGAGGTTGCACCAGGAGAGGTTGCAGGAACTGGTAAGGAAATAATTTGTATCATCATTTTTTCTGTTAGTCTCTATGCCTATAATGTTGCAGACCTGACTCACATATACACAATGATTAACCTTCCACTCATAAAATACTTTTTTTAATGAATAAAGGCAAAGTTGTTAGTACAGTTTGAGTTAAAAAGTGACATAAAAAGTTAAGTGAAGTAAGACTACTAAAATCCCTCTTTATTAATGTATCAACCTTTGCAGACTGTCTACCTGGGAACTGTTGGAGGTGTAGCATCTACAACCAGGCGTGTGATGTCAACTCTCATGACCAATGAGCTAGCTACACAGCTAAACTGGATGGGCCATGAAGAAAAACAAGGCTTTTGAAACCTAAAACTCTGTATAGTTGTCTGCAGTAAGATTTACTCTGGATTTTAGAGCCTCAGCTTCTTAATTTACACTGGCCTTACAGGTGTTTTGCAAAGTCCTCCCCCTTCCTGATGGAGGCCTTCAGCTCCTCCAGGGCTTCTGCCACCAGTCTGCTCTCAAAAGCGGAGAGCTTTCCCAGTCCCAGGTTCCTCTTCACTCCTTGTCCGCCGAGGAGGAGAGGGGTGGAGAAGTATGTGCATTCGTGATCCTCGGACCTGACGAATGCACACTCCACGACCCCCTCTTTGCCATTCATTGCATCCAGCAGAGACAAGGTGAACCTTGCCCCTGCGTATGCCATGGAGAGGGTGGCAGAGCCTGCCCCAGCCTTTGCCCTAACCACCTCCGTGCCTGCCTCCTGGATACGGCCCGTCAGGGTAGCCAGCGTATCTGCAGTGAACTCCACTTTGGGAGAACACCGGGACAAAAGCGGAATGATAGTCTTGCCCGCATGGCCACCAACAACGGGAACGTTGACGCGAGCCGGATCCAGTCCTGAGAGTTCGGCCACGAAGGTGTTAGCCCTGATGACGTCCAGAGTCGTCACACCAAACACCCGCTTGGGGTCGTAAACTCCATGCTGCTTATGAATTTCCAAAGCGATGGGAAGAGTGGAGTTTACCGGGTTGGTAATGACGCATAACATTGCATCAGGGCAGTTGCGGGCGCAGGCAGATCCACGGGGGAGGAACGGGGTTAGGTTGGACGGGAGTGGGAAGGTTCTGGAGGCGTGGGAAGAGGAGGCAGGAAAAGTCGGGCGGTACGGAGCTGATACAAAGACAGAGTTAGATCGCTCAGCAATTGCATAACAAAAAATACCTTGCCCTGAGCGATTTCACTTATAATCTTATCATTTACTTGTGTCCTATTATTGTGCAGTACAGACAAGCCAAAACAACAGTCTGTAACTTCACTTAAAGTAGATTTGAGGATATAGGGATGGAGAAATATTTGCACTCAGTTTCCTTGGAGCTGACAAACGCACACCCGACAACCCCCTCTTGTGCCAAGTCTCAGCCTCCTCGCTGAGTCTGCCTTATTGTACTGTAATTCTTAGGAGCTGTATACAAACTTGTACAAGCTGTTCACATTGTTTTTTTTATGACTGAATGCTTTTTCCATTTTATTTTAATCCATTAATATGCTGCAAAAGTGATTTGCAGGCCTGGAGTTCTGGATACCATTTTAATAAATACTGAATGAATTTGTTCTTTTAATCTTAAAAAGATATACCTTGACACATAACATACCATCAGGGCAGTTATGGGCACAGGCATCACCCAGGGTGGCAACGATGGCGGATCCACAGGGGAGGAACGGGGATAGGTTGGACGGGAGTGGGAAGGTTCTGGAGGCGTGGGAAGAGGAGGCAGGAAAAGTCGGGCGGTACGGAGCTGAAACAAAGACAGAGTTAAATCGCTCAGCAATTGCATAACAAAAAATACCTTGCCCTGAGCGATTTCACTTGTAATCTTATCATTTACTTGTGTCCTATTATTGTGCAGTACAGACAAACCAAAACAACAGAGGCGAGAGCTTGCTCACAAGGGGACTCTTGTTCAGGAGCAGTGACGGGCTGGCCGAAGTTGTTGTGCATGCGAGTGCTCTTGGGTGTTGGCGCGCTCCGGCTTCCCGCTTCTTGTACACCCGTTACTTGGTAGTGGATCTGCGCTGTGTTCGCATCGCGCTGTACTTCTCTTAAAGTAGAATTGTGGACATAAGGATGGAGAAATATTTGCACTCAGTTTCCTCGGAGCTGACAAACGCACACCCGACAACCCCCTCTTGTGCCAAGTCTCAGCCTCCTCGCTGAATCTGCCTTTAATTGCTGTAATTCTTAGGAGCTGTATACAAACTTGTACAAGCTGTTGACATTGTTTTTTTTTTTTATAACTGAATGCTTATTACATTTTAGTTTAATCCATTAATATGCTGCAAAACTGATTTGCATGGTTACCATTCACTTGAGCTGATGCTGATAATGGTCCTTCTGTGCAACTTGTTTGCATTTGAGAGCGGAGATTCGAACAATGTGTCAGACGTCTAGATGAAAAGTGCACGACTTTGCGCTGTTGGTTTCCTCATTAAACATGTCTATCCTTTATACGGGCTTGTCAACACCTGTTTCTTGTTCTGTTCACCCTTTCCTGTGTATTTAGTCCGTGTCTGAGTACGTCTGAGCAGATCAGTCATTGTATTGTCGTGATGTCAGTCCATGTATCCCCGGATCTCATGAATAAACCCCGTTCCCTTGAAGAACCTCGCAGCCCTGCGTCTTCCTTCGCCTCTAATCGTGACAGAAGTGCTTCCTCAAATTTGTTTTAAAATGTTCTCCTGCTAATTTCCACAATATGAGAAACTAACGTAACACCCGATAACGTATTTAGAAGATACTGTATGGGAAATTAATCATGACGATTAGCTAACTTTTAGTGTAGCCGGTTGAGGTCGTTTGAGACGTTCTATGTATGTCTTCCTGTGGTGGAGACAAAAAACCTCATCCCACCCAGGTCATCAGTGGTTCTTTGATCCCCCTTGGAGCTCAGCAGATGTGGATGCACATGGCTGAAGTAGATGTCAAACCACAGTGGCAGAGGAAAAACAGCAACAAAGATTTAATTCCTGCTTTTGAACAGGCCCTGCTTGGTTCTGGCTGGAAATGTGAAATAAATTTGATAAATTCTGATGATCTTACCAACTCCTCCTCAGAGAATAGAGCAAATGTGGCCCCTCGTTGTATGGATGTTTCCTGCTACTTCACACAGATGACCGTATCGTATAGCCCATTAATATGGGTAATGGCAAAAGTGACAGTAAAGACACCAAAGAATTTTTCATACACCCTTTCAATGCTAATATTATCAGTCAGTATTAAAACCTGTACGTTTCTTTTATGATTCCCAAGAATCATACAATAAATGTATTTTTTTTCCATATTTAATAATAATTTATTCCTGTCAAACCATCTTCTTTTTAATTTTAAAATTTCTGTTTTAACCTTTGAACAAAAGATGTCATCTGCTAATAAGTTTCATTTTTTGTGAAACCTTAAATTAATCATCCATGTACAGTACACACTACATGGACAAAAGCATTGGCACCCCTGACCGTTACACCCACAGCAACCTTTATAACATCCCATTATAAATCCATAGGCATCAGTATGGAGTTGGTCCCCCTTTGCAGCTATAACAGCTGCCACTCTTCTGGGGAGGCTTTCCACAGGATTTTGGATTGTGTCTGTGGGAGGTTCTGCCCATTCGTGCAGAAGAGCATTTGCGAGGTCTGGCACTGATGTTGGATGTGAAGGCCTGGCTCACAATCTCTGTTCTAGTTCATCCACACTAAACTCACCCAACCCTATCTTTATAAGGATCTTGCTTTGTGCACTGATGTCTTGGTATGCTGCAGCACAAAGAGTTCCCTTCACTGGAACTAAGGGGTCTAGCCCAACCCCTGATACACAACCCCATACCATCATCCCTCCTCCTCCAATCCTTACAGTTGGCACAATGCAGTCAGGCCCTTAAACCCCCAGCTCTAGGGGTGCTATACGCTGGCTGTGACGGGGCACAGACTGGCACTGGGGGGCCAGTGCGGGGAGGGCCTGTCTTTCTTCCCCAATCCTGGCATTATACAGTTTACATAGCTGGGGTGTGCATCCTGTCACTCAGTCTCAGTGTGTTTAATGGATAATGCAGATAATGCTGTATTTCATTGGTGGCCAACCAGATGACTGTGATTGGCTAAATATACCTTACCTGTTATATAATGGGGATGGGGGGGGGGAGTTCACAAAAATATACCATGGGGACACCCCACCAAGCCATTTCCACAGCTTCAGCAACCTGCAGCCTGTACCAGTAAAACCAGCAATACAGACTAAGGAACAATAATGCTAAAATAGCCTAAAACAAGTAATGCTAAAACAAGGCAAGGAAATCTTTAGAAAACACATTGCTACTCATCTGTGCCATTAATAATTAAGTCCAACTTTCGAAGCTTATAAATGTTTAATTTGTCATGAGCAACACATGACTAACTGTAGGCTTGTGGAGGTCAGGCTGTGATTCAGGGCTCTCCCTCTGTCCAGTAAGTGCAGCAATTAATCAATTTGTGTATTTTATTTTGCATTTTGTGTATACAGTACTGTTTGCACGGGAAGATGGATGTCATGAAATACACTATATTTGACTAGAAATATGTTTTTTTGTTTTTCCCAACATACAAATGAAGCAGTAATTCACCACACAAGCAAAGCTGAAAAACCTTTTTGCATTTGCTGAGAACAGTCTAGATTTAGAAATATTGTTTGAAACTTTCTGCCTTTCTCCCCACTAGATGGCGTCCTGCATTGTCTGATGGTATTAGGAGGGGCAGGAACCTCGAGAGTTTTGCTGTTAAGTTAAATGTAAACTGTTCATTTCCATGGACTGTTAGAGGGATTATGAACATTTACTTAGACAGACGGTTCTATACTAAGCTTTCTGGATACACTTTACTGTTTATAGAATCTCAAGTGCATACTTTTTGAGTGCAGTATCTCCACAAGTGTGAAATATTACTCACTTGCTTCCTGTTTGCCGAACGCCGAGTGCAGGAAAAGATAAACTTGTGTTTCAAGAGTAAGAAAAACAAATCTTCAAAATATAATGGAGTTTTAAAAATTTCCACAGCTTTCCAAACGATGCTGGTGCAGGAAGATAGTAACTAGTGAGTATTCATCGTGACCACCTCGCTGTAACGGCAGTGTGCGCTTCACTCCAGATCAGATTATTCCGCCAGAAACCTCAGAAGGGAAAGGAAGGATAATTAAAGGAGCTGTTCTACTATTGTTTCAGGGGAACGGTCACTTGTACAATGATTGAAATTCACCCACTTTACTTTTTAGCAAATGAGATGAAATGAAAACTGCCCGTTCTGGTTTGGAGATGCCCACTGGCCCATGTTTGTTCTCCAGAGACCTGCCCGTGTCCTGTGTAGGACTGACATCCCATCCAATGTGTTTCCTGGGATGAACTTTAGGTTCACTGCAACCTTGTACTGGATAACATAGAGGGAGGGAGTGATTTTGTTGGTCCCGAATGGTTTACGGTTTCATTCGACAGAAATGTGAAATCCATCCCCTCTGTGTTTCACTGGGATGAAGCGAGAGACCCAGACGTCCTGAGCCTTTGGTATCTTGTCTTGATCCTGTGTGCCAGTGCAATCTGGTGCCTATGTCAGCAGGTCTCATTTGGGCCTTGCGATCTCTGCTGGGGTTCCACTAACGCACAACTCTAACACCCTCACATTGCTGGCCTTTCATTGTAGTCTACAAGACATCCTCTCAAGTCACTATGTGGCATTAACACATCGGGCTAAAGCAGTATCTATTGTGTACAAATTAGTCTACCTCCATTCATCCTCCAAATTTCTACCAGTATGAGAATCTCTTCACACCTGGAGCATAACAGAGCAGTTAGTATTGAGAAGTGCAGCAGTATTCTGTGCAAAATTCTGTGTTTTTGTTGTGTAAAGAAGGATCTTCAGCACCTTTTTTCAAGGGCTCACGCAAGGTTGAGCTGCAGAGTGCCGCTGGGTTTTTGTGGGCATCACCTGGAACGTGAGACTGGGGCTGAATTACTACCACATAGAAGTACAGCACATAGGAAGTCTCACCTTTACGCAAAGCTCAAAAAAATCACCCTGGGAGTAACAGCAGCTGTCAGCTTAGCCTCACCTGCAGGCGGGAGGACGAGGTTGCCTTCATGTATGTCCTCCCCGTTTGCCCTAACTGTCTGCATCTCCACTGAGCTTCCAGAGAAAGCCGGGGCTTCAGCCAGCGATGGAACACCCCACGTGGCATCAACCAGATGATCCTTGATTGGCCCTGCCGTATCTCCAGGTAAGAGACAACTTGCCCCTCCCCCTCCCCTCATACTGTATGCAGGGGAGCAGGCTTTACAAACACGGCCTTTTCACAATATGCTATTTGGTTGCCTCGGCAAACTATGTTTTCATTTTTAAGATCTTGCAGATGAATAATGAAAAACATGAAAATGATGTTTACCGTCAAATAATGGAAAAAAAAACCTTTCAGCTGTCGATGCACACAAACACTTTGTTTGAGAAGAAAAAAGAACTGATTCCAGAATGGAATTCAACTTGCGTTACATTGATAATATTGGGTGCCTTGAAAATGTCAATAATCAATTAAAAAAATTGTGACAAGGTTAGTTTAGGAGGGGGGATTCTCAAAAATAATACATAGATATAAAATGCATAGAAATTACCAGATTTAGCAATATATGTTTTATAAAGTTTTGAACCGGAGTCAGAAAGACACTTCCATCACAATTCAGAGATATACTGTACAGTGCCTATAAAAAGTATTCACCCCCTTGGATGTTTTACCCTTTTATTGCTTTTATAACAACATAATTTGGATTTTTTGACAAAAAAAAATACAAAAAACCCTGTTAATGTCAAAGTGAAAACTGATTTCTACAAAATAGTGACAATTAAATAAATATATGTAACATAAAATAAGTGATTGCATAAATATTCACCCCGTTTAAAGTGACTGACCTAATTCAACAGCGGTCCATCCAATTGGGGCTAGTAGTCTCACAATTAGTGGAATGGAGATCACCTGAATGCAGTGACTGTGTCTCAAACGATTGTAGTATAAAGACACCTGTGTCTGGAAGGTCAATTCACTGGTTAAGCAGTATTCCTGGCTACCATTACAGCATGTAGACAAAAGAACACTCCAAGCAAATCAGAGAAAAGGTTATTGAAAAGTATAAGTCAGGGGATGGATACAAAAAAATTTCTAAGGTACTGAACATCCCCTGGAGTTCAGTTGAATCCATCATCAAAAAATGGAAGGAATATGGCACATGTGTAAATCTGCCTAGATCAGGCCATCCTCACAAACTGAGTGACCGTGCAAGAAGGAAATTAGTGAGAGAGGCCACCAGGACACCTATGGCTATTCAGAAGGAGTTACAAGCTTCAGCAGCTGAGATGGGAGAGACTCTGCATACAGCAACTGTTGCCCGGGTTCTTCACCAGTCAAAGCTTTATGGGAGAGTGGCAATGAGAAAGCCACTTTTGGAGAAAACTCATATTAAATATCAACAAGTGTTTGCCAGAAGGCAGGTTAGAGACTCCATTGGTCAAGTGGAAGAAAGTTCTGTGTTCTGATGATACCAAAATGGAGCTTTTTGGCCATCAGACAAGATGCTATGTTTGGTGGACATCAAACACTGCACATCACCACAAACACACCATCCCCACCGTGAATCACGGTGGTGGCAGCATCGTGCTGTGGGGATGCTGCTCAGCAGCAGGCCCTGGAAGGCTTGGAAAGGTAGAAGGTAAAATGAATGCAGGAAAAAACAGGGAAATCCTGGAGGACAATTTGATTCCATCTACAAGTTTTTTTTTTTTTTTGTCAAAGCCAAATTATGATGATCATGATTGATTTATAAAAGCAATGAAATGGTAAATCATCCAAGGGGGTGAATACTTTTTATAGGCACTGTAAGTGGATACTGATCATCTCTACTCAATTCTAATGTGGAAAAATATAAAAATTAATTTATTAAATCTTTATATTTCAGCATCACATGTGCTCTGGGTGGTTCTGTAGGCAGCTGATGAAGTGTTTTATTGACTGTCCCTGGTAGCAGATCCGGTAGACAGCAGTGAACAAGGGAAATCTGAAGAGACAGAGACAGGAGAAAATATTTATCAGCTCTGACAGATTAAAAAAAATAAAGGTAACATTTTAGTTATCAGTAATAAGGACATTTTTAAAAATTACAAAAGTGTACTCATGTGGAAATTATTATGCAAGTCATTACATTTACTTTGCTAGACAAGACCAAATAGAAAATCTCAATCATATGGTTATATCCAGTGACCTTCCCTTAAGTCTAACATTTATTGCCCTTTTTTCCAATTCTTGCTCTGTGTTGGACTGACCAGATCACCACACCATTTCTGATTATATTCAAACTATAGATAAGGTCAAGTTGTGCTTACTTATCCAGCAAGTTTTTGTGCTGAAGAATGTGGTGGATCTCAGCTGCTGTTACTGGTCCCTGGAGTTTCTGTCCATTCAACATCTCCTTTTCCAGCTCCTCAATAGACTATCGTGAGAGAGGGAACCACATCAAAAATCATGGGAGAGGGGCCACATTAAAAATCCACATTAGATGAGAGGTGTCACAGAGAAAGCTATACTCTAAATGTGTTAAATGAAACAAATTCCAGGCTTAGGTAAAGAGAACGCCTGAGAACGTAAGCAGGGATTTTCACATCCCAAGTCCCAGGCTGTATATTTAGCATTTTCAAAGACATCCTAACCTTCCCAGCTGTGACAAAGGCTTTGGCCACCCGGTGGTTCCTGCCACCATAGCAGGTCGTGATAAGGTCAGCCACCCCACAGCTCTCAAGAAAGGTGGCCGGGGAAACTGGTCCGGCTGTGCAAAAAATGCGGGCGAAGGCTATCATCTCCATGAGGCCCAGCCGGATCACTGCTGCTTTGGTGTTGTCTCCAAAGCCCAGGCCGTCACTGAAGCCTGCACCTACAGCCACCACGTTCTCAGGAGGGCCAGTAAGGTTAATTCATTTGAAACTGAGGGTCAAATCAAATCCAAGTTATCAAATACACAACGGTACAGCAAATAGCAGTAAATGTAGCCAGTGAAATGAATTTCCCCATAAGCTCCTTACAGTAAGTGATATATGAGTAAAAACAGTAAATAGAATTCGTAAGGCAGTAAAGATGTTTTAAGAAAAATAAATAATAAATAGAATGGAAATGTGCAAATTTCTTTCTGATGGGCATGTCTCATGGGTATGTCTTTCTGATAGGTATGTCTTTCTGATGGGTATGTCTNGGTATGTCTTTCTGATAGGTATGTCTTTCTGATGGGTATGTCTTTCTGATCGGCATGTCTGATCGGTATGTCTTTCTGATAGGTATAACACTGAAGACACCAGAGAATAACACCAGAAAATAACACTGAAGAATAACACCAGAGAATAACACCGAAGAGTGTTAGTAACTCTGGGACAGTAACACTGGGGATGTAACACCAGAAAGAGTAAGGCCGTATTTCCAGGACAATGGGTATGTCTTTCTGATGGGTATGTCTTTCTGATGGGCATGTCTGATCGGTATGTCTTTCTGATAGGTATGTCTTTCTGATGGGTATGTCTTTCTGATCGGCATGTCTGATCGGTATGTCTTTCTGATAGGTATGTCTTTCTGATGGGTATGTCTTTCTGAT